AACCAATAAAGTAGACAAAAAGTCATTAAGGATATAGAAGACTGGAACAGGTAAAGGATCCCATGTGCCCGAATGTTTGTGGGCAAAAAATACTTCCTCTTCTAGACAGCACTACATGCCCTATCCCACATGGAGAAACAGGATGATGAGCATTTCCTGTCTCTTTATTTTCCCTCCAGGACCCTATCTTCCCTGTCATCTCTTACTACTAATTTACGTGGAAGAATCTTAAAAATAGCAAGCAAACATGTCTTTAGTTTTTCTAGTTCTGTTTCACAAATCCGGTTGTTTCCAAAATGGAAAAGCATTGAAGTCCTCGAATACTGTATTTCTAACTTTACTGGCTAGGGAAAGGCCATGCGGAATAGACTCATAGCAAATATGGGGAGTGAGAGAGTGTAAGAGAAATTAAGGTAGAATCTACATGGCAGACTATCACTACACTGAAGACACAGCTAACCAGGCTGACTGATTACCTATTTTGTAAGTTTCATCTTGGAAAGGAATATCATTCAACTATTCAGCATCATAGTAGCCTTGTTTATAACAGAAAGTATTCTTACTTGATTGATAGTGGCAAAGTAAAGCTTTATAAGGGATATACCAAGGTTACCTGATTTTTAGTGCAGAATCAGGATCTGGAATCAGAGCACATAACTCTTTGTCCAGCATTCTCTTTCAGAACACAAATCTTTGATGGAAATGGGGAATTGGTTGTGGTCATAGTTTTCTGATTGTTTCCAAGGAGCAGTTAAATCTAAGTGATGCTCAGTAAACAGAGGCAACAGCTTGCGAGACATTAAGCCCAACTTGATAAACCTAGCACAGGGAATAGGTTTTCCTTAGGGAGTAAAAACTGGTTACGTAAGAAGAGTAAAACTAGACAAAGTGAGATAAATTAGTTAAGTGAATATGATGGGTCTACGATATGCTATGCACTCTTACATGTGGAATAAAATGATCAGAATGGAAGTTTTAGTGTTTCTAACATGACTCATTGGTAAATTCTACATCATTATAGTTTACCTCTTTCAAGTTTCTTAATAGAACTAGTCCTTTTGATAAACCAGGGATTTATGCAGGGTCACAGGGAGGGTAGTAATTATAGTTGTCATAACTCCATAAAAATAAGTGTTGCCTGCCTGTCTTTTCTAAAACTTTAACAGTAATTCCAATAGTTTGTTACTTGAATTTGCATGTGAGAAAAATCCTGAGTCTGTGTTCACAGTGAGGGATGCAATACACAGAGCTTACCTGAAGTCTGCCTTCTTGGCTTCTATAATATTATTAGGTTAGATCTTAGGAGTGAATGACCTTCTCACTCATAGTATTCTATTGCTGCTGCTTGGTTAGTCTTTGGGGCTTTGTGATTAACAAGGATAGATTTAATTTAAAAATCAGAATGGGGAGATCAAGGTGAAAATCTAAAGAGGTAAAATAGGAAAAATGGCTTTTTTTCCCCTTCAAAGTTGTCTTGGTCTCTGCTCAGGGGCACTGTCACACCCAGGACTTTTAGAACATTTTTTTCCTAAATCAATTAGAACAGTTCAGAATGTCAAACTGGGAAGGGTTAAATAAAGTCAAGACTTTACTGTTAGTGAAATCTTACTTCTAAATGCATGAGAAAACAATGGTTTGGCTGGTTTACTGAGGGAGAAGGAAGATACAAATAGCAATGGTCATATATGTCGTTGTGGTAACATACAGGAAAAGGATTGAGTCCTTAGTTTGAAAACTTTGTAGGCTTTTCTTTTCAAGAAAAGTATTTTTTTAGCTTTAGCCTGGCACCTCTTCAAATTAAATCACACAGGAACAAGACGTGATAAACAGCTGTCCCACCCCCAAACAGGACTGCATAGACAATCAGGCGCTCATGGGCAAGGCTGTGAAGGCAGCTCCTTAGGCGTCAGGAGCCACAGCAAGCAGAGGCAAGGATGGGCCCAAAAAGTGGACTGACGCTGGCAGTCGTCCTCAGATGCTGGTATATTGGCAAGACAGACAGTAGGCACAGGGCTGCTTTGCTACTCTTAGCCCCCTATTTCAAAGGAAATTCAAGATCTCCTGGAGCTAAGGGAGTCTTCTGTGCAGAAAGGCTCTCACCATGGGAGGGGAGGGACCCTTGTCTTCACAAAATACAAGCAAATGCCCTGACCATCACTGTTTCTCTTTCATCTTAAGCACTATGATCCCTTCTCTCATTTCTTTTTCCTTCATCTTCAGCCCTTCTCTGAAAGATGACATGTAGGATTCTTTTTGTTTTCTAACTCCTAGCTTGTTTCTTTGGTATGATTGCGTCTTGGCTGAACTATGGCAATTTTCCTCATTTGGACAGAGTAATCGCTGAAAAACTGAGAAGAGAAACTTGTATCTAAATTCTGCTTTAGAGGTCAGATTACATACCCTCAGCTAATGGGAGGGAGCATTGAGGCCACCAAGCTCCCTCCTACTGGGATACAGGGAAATGAAGAAGAAGCCAGATCACTCCTTAGAGCTCATTAACAAGCTGACTTTGGAGGAGGCCGTTTCCCTCTCAGTGGAAAAACCTTGGTTGGAGGCAGAACTAAAGCAATGGAAGAGGGATTCTCAAAACAGATGATGTGGTATCCTGATTGCTAGTTCTCTGTTCCTGTTCAGCTGGGTTTGTCTTTAGCCTTATTGGCCACTCTCTCAAAATAAAAATAAAATAAAATAAAAAAACCAAAGGATTCAGGCTAAGTCCGGCTAAACTTCATTGGTTTCTGGAACTGTTTCCTCCTGAAAAATAGGATAGTCATGTGTAGCATGACACTCAGGGTAATGGTCCTAAAGGTGATACCCTCTGGTGGGCAGCTAGGGGAGATATGTCTCCATGGCTTTCATGTGACTCGCTGTCCTTATTTCTCTGCCTGAGTCCTCCCACCTCTCCCTTGAGTCCTTATTGCCTGTTACAATCTATAACTTGTCTGCCCCATGGAACGTTTGGCTCACAGGTCATCTGCCTGCTCACTTCATCCCTTGGATTGAAGAGTTTAGCCTCATAACATGGCCAATATTGTGGGATGGGTAGAATACCAGAGGAATCTATCCCTTCTTGCTGATTTTCTCTCACTAGAATATAGTGAGAGAATATAGTTTATATCCTATAAATTTGTGCTTCCTGGGCAGATCTTCCTGCATTCTTGGCTGCTACCTTCACAAGCCTAGAAGCATCCTTTAGCACTGTTATCCTCGAGGGCAGAGTTAGATTGAAAATGGAGATTTGAGAAATCTATGATCCTAATTGTGTCTGATCCATTATCATTATTTAAAATAACTAAGCTCCAGTTATCTATTGGGCATCACACTAGGCAGAGAATGAGCCACAACCCAAGTCCTCTGGGCCTGCTAGGCCTGTTGCTCAGTCTTCAGAGATGCAGGCAGAACAGTGTCTTTCTTCAGTCCTAGCTTTGCTCACCCCCCACCCTCCCAGAGCTCTGCCTCATGGCGAGTGTGGTTTCCCTGCAGCTGCCTAGGCATCCTCATCTATAGGCCCTTTCTTTAGTCGAGACCATGCTCCGGTGTGTTCCTGGCAGTGTTCCCTGCTGCCTACCCAGTATGTAGTTGCCTACTGTTGGGCAGTAGCTCACTGCTCTGGCATGCTAGTGTGTAAATATTTGTCAAAGGACGGGGGCGTTTTCCCATTCCCCAAAAAGCATTCTGAAAAATGTGCCTGTTTTCTTAGTCATATTTCCAAGCTCTGGATCAGTTAGCCCATTCATTCCTTGCAGTTGACAGACACTGGCCTGGCCTCATAAAGCTGGCGACATAAAGTAAGTATGCAGTAACTTCCGGCACAGTAACTTTCAAGCTTTAGTACCAAGGAGTCCTGGACCTAAAGGAACCCTAGAGGACATAGTCACTATTAGAGAATATATTGTTTCATTAACAGAAATAATCACATTGCTCCCATATCCAGCATTTTAATTTCTTTCACTCATACTTGATATTGAAGGTGTACATGGAATCAGCAAAAATGGGAAAGGTAACCATATAGATTATGGGGGAGAACTTTGTTCTTCATGTTTGTGACTTTACTTCCAGGTCTCATGTAATGTTGGTTTTTATACTACATCCATGTCTGCCTCTGTAAAGGTGACATTGCTGAGCTACTGTCAGTTTAGAGGTATTTCCCAGTACAATTGATTATCCTGTCACTCAGTTCTACTTGAGACCAAAACAATTCCCCTCTGCAAGATGATTATTAGGCTGAAAAGGCAGTCTATAGTCATGGAGCAGAACTTTCCTTTTTTTTTTTTTTTTTGTAAGGAAGATCAGCCCTCAGCTAACATCCGTGCCAGTCCTCCTCTTTTTGCCGAGGAAGACTGGCCCTGGGCTAACATCCGTGCCCATCTTCCTCCACTTTATATGGGACGTGGCCACAGCATGGCTTGACAAGTGGTGCGTCGGTGCGCGCCCGGCATCCGAACCTGCGATCCCCGGGCCGCTGCAGCGGAGAGCGCGCACTTAACTGCTTGTGCCACCGGGCCAGCCCAGAGCTTTCTATCTTTGTGCAAAACCCAGTGACCCACTTAAAAGGATTGAACTGTTGATCTTAGCTCTATTAACACTAGGCTCTAACTGAGCTCAGGATTTATTTAAATTGCACACACAGTCCCAATAGGTAAAGTAACTGCTAATGTGCCTTATTAAACCGCTTGCCTCCTTCCTTTCCTTTTCTCTAAGTCTCACCTTCTAGCACCCCTTTCTCCTCATTCTCCAGTTTTTTGAACTGATCCTCAGTCTTCTACAAGTATGGCCTGCATCTGCCTGTTTTCACTGTTTATATCCACCTCAGCCTTCCTCCCTTCTAGTCAGAATTTGATATAGGGACATGAGACTGTTGGGTGTTGAAGTCTTAATTGAATTGATTAGGAAACAATAACATATGCTGAGTAATACAGCAACTGCTTTTCCTCCACACAACACAACTCTCTTTTGAAAGGCTGAGTATCTATTTTAATACATATAATTTCTTCCCACAGATCATCAATTTCTACATGAATATGCTGATGGAGCGTAGTAAAGAGAAGGGATTGCCAAGTGTGCATGCATTTAATACCTTTTTTTTCACTAAGTTAAAAACGGCTGGTTATCAGGCAGTGAAACGTTGGACAAAGAAAGTGGATGTATTTTCTGTTGACATTCTTTTGGTGCCCATTCACCTGGGAGTGCACTGGTGTCTTGCAGTGAGTACCTCTTATTTTTGATAAAATTGAAAAGAAATCTATATAATTATAAAATACAGAGAGAGTAATGAGTAGTAGTTCTACATTTTCATTGGATGATTAAGAGAAAAAGTAGTGTTTAGTTGGCTAAAAATTGGGAGATCAATGAACTTCCTGTCAAGAGTGGGAGATACTTAGACTTTGAAGAAAGTAGTGGAATTTCCTTTCCTGGAAATATTTAAAAGGGAATTATAAGTCTAAGCAACCTCAAGGCAATGCATGGGGAAGAAAAGTGATTTCTTAATGATGCTGCCAGCTCAGATTCTGTGATTATTATTTTCTTCCTAATCATGACTTGCCTTGCATACTTAGTAATTTAATATTTTTTATGACTCTGAGAACATGGATATGTTAGCTTAATGTATTAATAAAAGTTATTTCACAGTCTGTCTTGAATTACATTTGAAAAGCATAAAGCCAAAAGGAAATTCTCCAGGTAAAGAAACAAAACCCAGAATCCTTTACCATCATTTTGAAACTGTGTGGAAATGATCTCACTCAACTTACATTCTCTGAAGAGTATGTTGTGTCTTCCCTGTTGCCCACGTTACAGATGGAGAACCTGAATACTAGAAAAAGGTTTCAGGGCAATTAATGGGGCCACCAGTTGATCAGCCCCCACCATAGTTCTATGTGAATAATCCCCTTGTTCTTCTTTCTTCTGCAGATTTTGCCCGGTATAACGCAAAGTATCAATCAGACTTGTAATGATTTCACAGGAAATCTAGCAAAGGCTTCCAAGTTCCAGGAAAGGGAAAAGCTGAGAAACCAGTTTTCTTCACTTTGTAAACACACAGATTTTTTTATTTCTAGGTTGTGGACTTTAGAAAGAAGAATATTACCTATTACGACTCTATGGGTGGGATAAACAATGAAGCCTGCAGGATCCTCTTGTAAGTAGGGAGTTGACAACAGCAGAGTTTTTTTATTGGGTAGATATTGTGTTTTTCCAGCTGTTGAACTCAGTTCTTTGATACCTTCAATGGGGTGATTAATAAAGGAAATCTTCATATTAAGTAAGAATGGATATTCTACAGCTAAGTAAGTGAAGTTTAATAATAATATAAAAATACCAAAAATATACCCTCGTGGGGATGGTTACTGTCCCAGTGCACTAAAGTATAGAGTGGATATATACATTCAGATATAGAAACTACTTAGAAATCATCTAATCCAACATCCTGATTTTTTCAGATGAACAAACCAAGACCCATAGAGGTGACTTGGATTTGCTCAGGTCCTTCTAGTTAGCGGCTCAACTGGGAACCAGAATGCAAATCTCTTTATACCCTATCTGTTTCTCTTTCCAAAATGCCTGTTCCTCACTGTACCACTCTGGTGGCCAGGAGGCAGGTTACAGAATGGTGAGCAGTTTGCACTTAAGAAGAGTGCTCTATTTGAGGTATGCACTCAACAAATTGTTGGTTTAGATTGAATTTTCACACAGGAGAAGCAAGACTAAAAATAGTCAGTACCTTGATATTGCTAAAGAAACATTATTCTTCCATTAGATTGAGTTTGAAAGTACCACATGTATAACCAAGGAAAAGAATCAAAACTCGTTCCTCAGGAGGAACCATAGGTAGATGGAACCTGGGTATCAGAGGCAGAGATCATGTTTCTCTTGGGTTGACAGTGGGGCATGAACTGTTGGAGCTCCAGAGCAAGCTTATCAGTCTAAAGATTCCCTGCCCTGCGTTATATGCTGTTTTCCTCAGAAGTGCAGATGAAGACTCTTCCTAAGGATCCTCAGCCCCATTCTTATGGTGACAGCTGTCATCAGTGTTCCCCACAGCTCAGTTCTTTCTCTCCCAATACCTTTAGGCAATACTTAAAGCAAGAAAGCATTGACAAGAAAAGGAAAGAGTTTGACACCAATGGCTGGCAGCTCTTCAGCAAGAAAAGCCAGGTACATTTCATCTTAATGAGGTGGAAATCCTGAGATTAGGGTATTTGAGAAGGAAAGAATTTTACTGCTTGATTCCCAGGGACCTTGTTTAGGGTCTAGCCTGACTTCAGCTTGGTTGTTTGCTTCCTCGGGGAAGATAGAGTAAGCTCTCTGTGGGAAAACTAGTAATGTGTTTCTTATGTAGAACTAGGTTTTCTAAATGCCCAGCTATTTTGCTCAGCTTTTCACTCATGTGGGAAATGTTTGCTGATTGATTAGCTCTTGTGGGAGGGACCATTTTTTACATCCTTAGGTGCCACAGAAGTCTAAGATAGTCTCCTGTGTGGTTAACACAAAGTATACAGGCCTAACTGAGATGCCATATTTTTTTCTCTGAATCTCTGTTGCTCTGAGTGGGGGACCAGGGTCATCTCTTCAAAATTCAGGGAAACCTATAAAATTTATATGCTTTGGTTCTTATTTATAATCTAATAAAAAGAAAGGAAGCTTGCAAGGATGTTACCTTTTTGCTGTTTTTGGTCTTTCAGGAAATTCCACAGCAGATGAATGGGAGTGACTGTGGCATGTTTGCCTGCAAATATGCTGACTGTATTACCAAAGACAGACCAATCAACTTCACACAGGTGAGCTGAGCCTTCTGGAGGGAGCTCCCTGACCACCCTGTCATCAAGCTACCTGATAGACGGTTTTGTCTCCACTTGCTCTGCTTAGGGGCCTCTGCTTCAGCCTGTAGCCCATAACAGTGGTGGTTACTGCCCATGGCACATCACAAAAAAATGGATAGTGGTAGGCCATATGGTTACCTGGGTTACCATATATCTCATACTATAGTCAAGGAATCCTAATCAATAGCAGGGCCTTTTCTGCCTCTCCCCCACCTACCTCAAATCCTATTAGAAACAAAGAACTGGGACCAGAGCAGGTTTTCTTCAGTTTCCCTTTATTTGGTTAACAAATAGTCAGGTTTTGGAACAGGCCACACCTTGATCTCTTGGTGTAATTTGTTGTGTTGCCCTCCTCCCCTGCCCCTCACTTGATACAGCTAATCCGTCTTCTCTTAGTTTGTGATTGTTCATTTCTGACCATGTGGTCCTTCAGAGACTGAAGTGGATTGAGACTAGAGATTATGGTTTATTCCATGTCTTCCATTTAACTCTTGACTTCTGTTTAAATTAATGACTTTATCAGATTTTTCCTCCATAGCCATTGGGTGGAGCTGATTCTTGCAATTCCCATAACTCTTCCCCTAAAAAGTGACTTTTTGATTTTCATGTCTCACATCTCATATTCTCTTAAAAGTTCAACATACAGAACTTGGTAGACCCCACTCTCAAATTCTTAGAAACTTTTTGGGTATAGCCTGGGGACTCCTGGTAATACCCAATAAAACTTCAAAGCCTACAACAATGGAAAATAGCAATAGAGATAGCAATAGAAAAAAGCAATAGAAAGAAAAAAAATCACATGTAATCAAGAATGAGCACTTTGAGGGGGCCGGCCCCGTGGCTTTGGCGGTTAAGTGCGCACACTCCGCTACTGGCGGCCTGGGATCAGATCCCGGGAGCGCACCGACACACCGCTTGTCCAGCCATGCTGAGGCGGCGTCCCACATACAGCAGCTGGCAGGATGTGCAACTGCGACGTACAACTATCTACTGGGGCTTTGGGGAGGAAAAGGGGGAAAAAGAGGAGGATTGGCAATAGATGTTAGCTTAGGGCTGGTCTTCCTAGCAAAAAGAGGAGGATTGGCGTGGGTATTAGCTCAGGGCTGATCTTCCTTAAAAAAAAAAACAAAGAATGAGAACTTTGAAAGACCAGAAATGCAACTGAGACTATTTTAGTTGAAAACCTCGAGAAGGTAAGGAGTATTGGGTCTGGCTAAAAGAAATGAAAATTAAGGGTGTCTCTCTGTCCCTACAGCAACACATGCCATACTTCCGGAAGCGGATGGTCTGGGAGATCCTCCACCGAAAGCTCTTGTGAAGACTGTCTCCGTTAGCAGACATTGACCTTGTGGGGGACCAGCTCTTTGTTGTCTACAGCCAGAGACCTTGGAAACAGCTGCTCCCAACCCTCTGTTCTTGTAAAGCCCTTGATTCTGGACCAGGCCCTGGCGAGATGCATTCACAAGCACATCTGCCTTTCCTTTTGTATCTCAGATACTATTTTTGCAAAGAAACTTTGGTGCTGTGAAAGGGGTGAGGGACATCCCTAAGCTGAAGAGAAAGACTGCTTTTCACTTCTTCAGTTCTGCCATCTTGTTTTCAAAGGGCTCCAGCCTCACTCAGTCCTTAACTAAGGGGCTGAGAGAAGCTTGGAAAGACTCTTGGTTTCATATAAACTCTTGTTGATAGGCCTTACTAAGAGGTAGGAAAGGGCATGGGCAAAAAGGTAGGGATGAAAACCACCAGCATATACACGCACACATACATGCACACAGAATTTCCAAGGCATGCTGTCAGGAAAGTGACTGTAAACTGGACTTTGGGGTACATGCATTAAGTCCCTCCTCCAGGACTGTTCTTATTTATATGCCCCTTTGTGAAATCCGTCTGCTCTGTATAAGGCTGTTTTATGATCTGTAGCTTCCTCCCATCCTGAGACACAACACATGAGCCCTGGGTGGACCCCAAAGTCCCAGGCAGTCCTTTCCTTAAAAGCAGGAGTTTGCATGTGCTCACAACACATGATATGGGAAGACCCACCCGGAGCAGTTTAGTGGAGCAACAAGGCACCACTTTGACTGCCGCCTACTTCTGACCAAGACGAAGAAGGACCTCAGTCTTTAGCATAAAATTCCAGCATTGGATGAGTGCAGGTCTAGTTTGGTCTGTGGCTAGTTAGTTTAAATATGTTTCTAACCACAGAGAATTTAATATATATATATTTCACAGGGATATGATTTTTTTTAAAAGGCTGAATGTGTTCAGCATTTTAGCCTGTAGATTTATTTCCATTTTCCAAATTTAGCTCTAGCACGCACAGATCCCAGCCTCTATGTGTAGGGTGTTTGTGGACTTCCTAACAGAATATTTTGAGGCCTGGATGAACTTTGGCTTAGGGGGTAGAGGTTACAGAGGAAGATGAGATTTTCAACTGGAAAACAGGTGGAATTTGGACTGAGCAACTTGAGATTAAAAAACTCCTATTCCTTTTGTTCTTTCTAGCATCTTCCCCACCCTCTGAGTGCTCCTCAGGCTAAATAGTGACATGATCCAATGCCAGTGTCCTTTTGTACTTAAGTTCCAAAATAGGAACGTTTTATACTTTTTTCTGTATTGTAATAGGTAGTTTTGTATGAATCTTTTCTCCTCTTCCCATGTACCCCATCCTTTACAGCATTGTGCTTTCTCCCTGGGCTTATTTGAAAATTTTACTCTGTTTTATACCAAGCTTGTTTAGTACATTTTTCTATGTTTTACCACAGGTTACAATTTGAAAAGAAAACTATTTTTTTTAAATATTCCATTGTTAACTGAATGTTACTGTCTCCACTCCAGCAACTAGAGGTCCTACCTTTTCATAACTGCCTGCCTTCTGGGGGAAGACCACCTTTTGTTTGTTTTCTTTTTTTCTTTTTTTCTTTCTTTCTTTCTTTTTTTTTTTTTTTTTTTTATGTTTTCTATAGGAAATAAATAGCTTTCTATATATGAGTTGCTGGGACCTTTCACATTCTCTTTAGAAAGCTATGGCATGCAGGCTCATTGTAGGACTCCTGAACATTGATTCTTGGTACTTAATGTATTTAAGTGACAACTTGAAAGGTGGCAGTATGGTATAGATTTGGACTATGAATCAAAAGACCTGAGTTTTTCAGGCCCTCTTGCTGTTGTCTGGGGGACTCAGAACAAGATAGTTCTCTGTATTTATTGTTTGTCCATTTAGGTAACATCTGTCTTACCTTCCTCACAGACTTTTTGTACAGACCAAAGCAACAAATATTTATTGCCATGTATAGCAGAAAATGAAACATGCAACAAAAGCACTTTGAAAAATACATAAGGAATTGTTGAGCCTGTCTGAATTTGACCCCCCTTTCTGACCAATGCAGTTTTGTACAAGGTGGAGTTAGTGATCCTGAGACCACCCTACATGGGTGGCCCAAGCTGAGACATAGGTTGTGGCCCAGGGTGGCTCAATGGGAACCAAATATAGACTTATATAGTGGGCCATTCTTTCCAGAGGGCTAGCCAACAAGATGAGGACTAGCATCTGGAAAATTACTTTCTCCTTCATTTAAGGGTAGGCTTTGATGATGGGGTGGGGGGAGATGTTCCTACGTTCCAGGGCCAAGGGCATGTTGCCAGTATCTTGTTTAACCTGCTTTAAACTAAAGCCTGTTGGTTTCCTTTTCTTCTGTCTTCCCTTCTCTCCTGTGCTCAGTGCTCATAATCACCTACCTCTCCGAAAAAAGGAACTCTCGAGGGATGATAAGCTGTAGATGCCAGATATAGAGCCTTCAACAGAAACCACGGTCCCAGAAATCACTCCTGGACCCTGTACAGAGGAAGTCAAATAGGACATTCCTGCCCATTTGAGAATACGTGTTCTGAAGCACAGAAGCTAGTTCCATCCCATTTGTCACCTGGCACCCACTGTTGCTCCCAGGAGTCCTCCTCTCCCTCAGAATGCTCTGCAGCTGTGGAGAGTGCTTCTTTTTCAGGAGATTCAGAGAAGCAGGGAGTCGAAGGGAAGACCCACTGTTGCTCCTGGGAGTCCGTTTAGGGTTGACTCTAAGAGTACTTTTCCCTAGCTGGCCTGGAGACTTTGTGTAAATTGACTCCTCTCTATATGAGGTGCTTCATACTTCTGTGTGATATCAACTTCTCTCTTCTTTAGCCCCTGTAACTGGGGTAGCGTCTTCTACTCACTGCCCCTAGCAAAGTTAGCCCCAAGTTTTAGTGTCCTGGGGTAGAAACAGGTAAGCTGGAGAAGCACTGCCAGCAACCCCATCCCATGATCTGTCCATCACCACCTGGTTTTACATGGCCCGTAAGTAGCTCTAGTGGGTAGAGAGGAAGAGGGTTCATGTAAGAGCCCCAATGTTTTTCATATTTCAGCCTCTGGTCCTTCTGTGCCATCCCTCCAGCTCTCAAACGTCTTGCCAAAGTAAGACAGATGACTGACACTCGGGTTCTGTCTTCTCCCTTGCTTCACCTGAAGGGGCCCAGCTGAGGTGGAATGGTGCTTTCACCCTGGGAGTTCACATACCCAAGAGAGTCAGAAAAGGAGGCATAAAGCTATCAGCCCTGTTGTTGACTCAAACAGGCTACGTGCTGAGCTCCTGGGAAAGTTGCCATATTTCCCTGCCCAGGGGCACTGTATCCACAGCGTCAAATTCATCCTAAAATGTTGGAAGGGACAAGTAAGGCTTGGACCAGCATCCTTCCTTATACTCCAGGCCTTATTTCACCTGTGCCGAATCCTAACATCTGTCTGTTAAGAGCCCGTAACCACCATTCCCAGCTTTGGTGGTGGGGAGGGACATAAGGGTATGTGGGGTCCTGCTGGTTACCCACTAAGATAAGGGAGAACTTACACATGCATCCCCTGTGGGAGAGAAAAGAGAAACTAGGAGACTGAACTAGAAGATAAGCCTTGAGGAAATACTAGTGCAGGCTGCCTCTCCAGCCTGTCAGGGACAGGTTGGGGATAATTCCAATTGTGAGTAGTTGGGCCGACCAGATGTCCAGGGTCTTATCAAAGTCTGAGATTCTGAAATGTTATTTAGGGTCATAATGCTGCTTAGAGTAGAAATCAGTCAAGGTAGAGATTCAAAGTTAAAGTTTAAAGGCCTGTGTTAACTTGCTGGAGTTAAGGCCCAGGTCAGAGTCTTATCCTAATGGGACAGATCGTAGCTATAGACTTCTCCATTCTAAGCTGAGGAGTAGCCGTCAACTGCTTGATGCAGAACACAAGTCCCGGGAAGGGAAAGCGTATGGGAGAGACGCACAAGGAGCCCAGAGTCTTCAGTTGGCCGGCCGTGCAACCCCCATTCAATTTTCTCTTTTATTCCTTTCACAAATACCTACAGAGCACACACACCTAAATCCTGCCTCCATGAAGCCTTCCCTGATCACATATAACATCTCATATCTGGACATCGGCAGCCTTTGTAATCAGAAAATATTATAACTCCACGTGGTATTTGTATTGTAATCTGTCTTATATCAGCAATGGACTGAGACATGTCACCACTTAGGGCAAGTGAATGATTTGGTGCTTTTTTTTCAAACCAGGAGTGCAAGCTGCTTCTCTCCGGCCTGCCAGTGGAGAAAGGGTACCTCTATAAACGTTTATTTAGAAAGACAGCATGTGGGAGTTGGGAAAAGAGGGGCTACTCATGACTAGTGAGGCTGCACCTCCTTTGTGGTCCCAAACTTTCGTCTCTGGTCCCAAACCTCATGCCCCACTCTGCCCTTAACAAAAACACCTTCCTCAGCAGTTGAGCATGCCCTTCAGGGGGCTCAGTCTATCCCAGGGAACTAATCAAAGTATATTTTTTCCTAACCACACATCTTTCTATTAAATACAGTTTTCTCCATCCTTTTTATTTCCGGTGATATTGTACATCCCTTATAGACTGAAGCTGTGGGTCCCTTTCTGCCTGCCTTGTCCTTTAGATGGACTGTTATACATGCTGCCTGTGTCTTGTCTGTTAGCCCAGAGCTAAGTTCCTGGAGGGCACTTGCCTCATCTGATACTTCTGGGGAGCCCCTTATGCTAAGTGTTTAATAAACATGTGTTTAAGCCCTGGGCTTGAGGGCCCTGAAGGGTGGAGTGAAGAGATGGTTTGACCAAGGAAATAAAAGCCACCTGTTCACCAGGACCTTAGAGTCTAATTTGGGAGGCCGGGCAGACACCAAGCAATGGACCTTATCAAGAAAGCCAGCTCGTGGGCGCATGGTCCAGTTTGAAGCTGGATATGGATGATGGAGGGGAAGAGGTAGAGATAGGTCAAGGATGATGTTGCCTTTATCTGTCTACCTATGTGTGACTCTACTTTTTAAGTTGATTTATTTAAAATAAATTCTGTGGATTTTGCTTTCTTGTTTTGACTGGAAACTCCCTGGTAAAAAGCACTCGATGGTGTTTGTCTCTCTAAGACTGTCTCTCTGTCTCTCTGACTGTTTGTTCTGTCTCTGTCTGTGTCTATGTCTCCTGATCCAAACTGGACCAGTGATTGGATTCTCAGTGTGGTCTGGATTCCTGAGTCCACCCCTTAACCAGGAGTCTGAATAATGTTC